TCCAATATGCTTGCTGAGTGTGCTGTACAAGCTTTTCACGAAGATTATCCTCGCTCGCATATCAAGGACACTGGATGAAGCCCAACCCCAAGAACAAGCTGGATTTCGCAAAGGATTCAGCTGCATGGACCACATCCAGACCGTTTCGAGGGTCATAGAAGTCTGCCGGGAGTACCGACTGCCTCTCGTCCTAACCTTTGTCGACTACGAGAAAGCCTTCGACAGCGTCGAAACCAACGCCATCCTGTCTGCGCTAGTCGATCAAGGAGTGGACCCAGCTTACGTGAGGACGTTAGCCGACTGCTACAAGGACTGTACAACGACGATGCAGCTATTCCATCGCCCCCTGACCATACCAATCGGGAAGGGGGTCCGACAAGGCGACACAATCTCGCCGAAGCTGTTCACCGCGGCCTTGCAGTGGGTGATGAAGTCACTGGACTGGGACGAGAGAGGCATACGAGTTGATGGGAGATTCCTGTCCAACCTTCGTTTTGCGGACGACATCGTTCTCTTCTCGAGCAGTATCACCGAAGCAGAGACGATGCTGAAGGAACTAAACGAAGTAGGGAAGAAGATCGGACTGCGAATAAATCGGATGAAGACTCAGTTCATGAAGAACGCCCTTTGCGAAGATGCAGAAATGGAATTGGAAGGCACCCCGATTATGGAGACATCTTCCTACGTGTATCTCGGACGTTCGATGAACATGGAGAACGACTTGAGGGAAGAACTTAACAGGAGAAGAAGAGCAGCCTGGGCCGCCTTCGGGCCCCTGAAGGAAGCCACCGACCAACTGACGGACCCGGAGCTTCGTGCCCACCTGTTCGACTCAACCGTTCTCCCGGCGCTCTGTTACGCAGCTGAGACTTGGGCCGACACTGTAGCCACGTCGAAAGCTTTACGGACCACCCACAGAGCGCTCGAGCGCAGTCTTCTGAAGATGACCCGACGCAAGCAACATCTAGTCGGACTTCGCAGCACGGATATGAGAAGAATGTCCCGTCTTCGTGACCCAGCGGAATACGTCGCGAAAGCCAAACACCGATGGGCCGGTCACATAATGAGAAGAACAGACGACAGATGGACACTAAGAACATCGGAGTGGATTCCTCGCGAAGCCAAACGTCCCCGAGGAAGACCTCCAACGAGATGGGCAGACGTGTTCGTGGAACGGATGGACCAGCTGAGAAATCAGCTGGATACGATTTTTGCACCTGGAACTCGTGGACGCAGCCACCGACGTCAGCCAAGAAGATCGTGGATGTCAGAAGCGAGGGACAGGGAAAAATGGAAACTTCTGAGCTGGGGCCCGCACGTCACGTGAAGCCGGGCCATCTAAGTATCTAAGTAAGTAAGTACGTAAACAAGACTGCCGGAAGTTCTCACCTTTTAGGACTTTCCGAGTACTTCAACTGCTGGGCTTCTGCTTCAGGAGAACTTCTCCTACAATTAGTGGGGACTCGAGTAATAGGTGCTGCTCAGGTGACACTAACCACAACAATTTCAAAAGAAAATTAACCCATGTTTTCGCCAAAACACAAAAGCCTCATATAGCCTAAAATTCAATATCAAACTCGTTAAAGGCACTGTCCAGGCAAATCTGGGCTTATGGATTGTTTGCCTGGAACTGATGAGAAGATTCCAACTAAGGAAATACCAAAACCGCAGCGCAAATTATTTAGGGCTGAGAAATCCATCCAAACACTCCGCGGCTGCACCGTGACCGTAAAACTTAGCATGGGTCCCAGCGCGAACGTAATGTTAAATTGACCAAAGTTGTTTCCGGGTTACGGTCACGGCGAAGGCGCTGGGTTTTCGGGGACAGCATACCTTCGATAGTCAAGAGACAGAGGCTAGAAAGTGATAGTTGTTCGAGCTCCTGCCCCCTATAAAAAGTGAAGGTTGTTTCAGAAAAATAGATGGAAATTTAGAGATACGAATTAGACCAAGAAACTTGAAAAATTTACGTAAAGCAGAGGTTAGCACACCACCAAATTTAAAACATTAACTTGGTGATTTCCTACGCACAGTTTCCTCTACAGAATTGCCGGTTAAATTGGTTGGCAACAAGAACAAAGTTCTTTTCCAATCAAAAAAGCATTATTTAGCTTGGCGGTAGTTGGGAGACCGGAAGAAGAAAAACTTGTCAACAGCTGAACTGAACATGTTAAACACGTCTAAAAGGATATGTTGCAAATCGACGCCAATCTGATTTTTGATGCGTCCTTTGAATTTTCACCCCCCGTATAGTTGTTTCGTATCCTGCGACGTTATCTAGATTCTTCCGCTCATTATTCTGAGCAAGTATCGTCCAAGCTCGAAAAAATTCGTTGCGAAAGTACTGAAAGAGAAGAAGGTAAAGAAAAACGCACTTTTTAGTAATTTTCACAGAAAAAACCGGCATAAGCAAAGAAGTAAGCTCGGCGACGTTGTCTACATTATAGACAGAAACAAGACCTATCCACTGCATAAAAAAGCCGATTGAAAAGAGTTAAATTGAAGAAAAAACAAAAGGTTTTCGAAAACGGCGTTTTTTCGAGATTTCTCGTTTAAATCATAAAAAGGAGTCCCGCGACGTTGTCAGCGTGAAAATAGAGATTAAGAGCTTCAATATGATATATAGATTATGGAAATTGGGCTCCGAACAACGAAGAAAAGGGTACCAGAGCCAAATGCCCCGCGCCCCGCATTTGAGGTAGCGAGGTAGCGCGCAGCGCGCGGAGACGCAGACGAGCAGCGGAGACAGACCAGAGCTGACGGGGCATTTGGCTCTGGTCGTGGATCTTCGCAGGGTCTCAACGAAACCCTGCAAAATTATATATCGTTGTGATCCTCATGAGACGGACAGGAGCACTGACAACGTCGCGGGTCTTGAAAATCACTCCATAACGAGATAGACCAGCATTTATATGGCGACTCTTTGCGCAAGATTTGAGCGCAGTTTTTCGTTTTTATTGAACTCTAGCGGCTTTAATGAACTTCCAACATTCAACCGCAGTTCAGAGAAAGGTTAATTGAGAAATTTTGCCCTAGTTTTTGATTGAATTTCTAAATAAAAACCTTCTTCTCAACAAAAAAGGCCATAAAAACGCAATCCTTCGGTTTTTTTGAGCTTCTTTTGAATGTCACTGCTATATTTGCCTCATTTAAATTCTTCCCTATACGGTTATGTCATTAGTTATGTCATAATTTCCGGGGCTTCGCCCCGGATGACTTCTGTACTTCTCTCCAGGTGAAGGTTGTGTTCTATCATGACGCTCAAAGTGAAGGTTACCAAAGTACATGGCGCTATGTATCGAAGATATGGGGGACAGATTTCAGCCGTGAATGAACTATTTGCGCTGCCCCTTTGGCAGTGCCTTTGTTAGAACCCCTTCATCAATTTTTTTTCATGGTCGCGGCTCCGCGACGCAAAACGCTGCTCGGAGCAGGTGCCGGGGGCTCTGTATGCCACTTTCTCCTGTTGCGCCTTTGTAGGCTCCCGCAGGACCACCTTCGGCTTGAAACCAGGGTCAAGCGTGTTGATGCGATCCTAAGCCCTCTTTTACGACCCCTCCCCCCTTTAAAGTACCCATCCCTAAGCCCCCCCCCCACACCCCCTGCCCTTGTAGCCAATAACAACCAAGAAACAGCACGGGAACGGTTCACTTCAGTCATTATGATTGACTATTTTACAATAAATCATTTTCTAGTGAGAGATAATAAACTCTTCTGCTGTCCATAATAATCGGCATAGCTCATTCATGTTTCAGTGGTATCGAATATTTACAATGATTCTGGAAATTAGAACGTTTTAGACTGTAATGACAGTCTCGTGTTTCGTCCTCGTAAGCGGCACCATTTTTACATAAACGATATCTTTGAAGCTTAAAATATGTTTTCTACTAAAAGGCTTATTTCCTACCTTTTAACAAATTCTCCTGCGAAAAAAACCATTTTAGCGTCGTCCAGAACGATGTCAAAATCGTGCATGAGCACGGTACTTTGAAAATTCGTAACTAAGGTCAAGGAAAAGACTGAGAAGCTGCAATGAGCAGGTTTTGTAGTATAGTGCCCAGGCAATTGAAGGTAGAAGTTGCAGCACAGGAGCAGTAAGCTCGAAAAAATTAGATGCAACTCTAGCAAATTTTGATGCGATCCTAGAAGCCAAAACCTAGAATTTTTAAGCTCAAAATCCCTTAACTCACTGGAGACGCCACGAAACAGCTCGAAATTTTAAGAAAGAAAGTTGGACAATGGCGTCGTAATACAGCAAAATTGCAGCAAACAGATCTCCATAGCGGCGAAAAAAATTAGATGCGATCCAGATACGACCCTTCTTTTTCATTTATTGTTGCCATATATAAAATTTCGAAAAAAATTCCACAGGCTATGAAATAAAACCAGAATTTGCACAACTGTATCAGAGCATCTCCAAAGTACAAGTAAAGTATGGGCTCCTGAAAGACATTACAAAAAGTTTCAAAAATCATCGATGGTAGAGATGAGTGTTTTCGTCGAGTGTGTGAGACTTCAATAAAGCTTCGAAATCAGGATTTCTAGGCCAATTGCTACATTCAACATTCTTGTCACACATACATGCCTAGTGTTTGAGCTTCTGAAAGTGCCTTTCAAATCTTCGGTCATACCTGCGACCAGCAAATTCGATCCCCATCTGCGACCCTTTTTGCAGGAGAAAAAGCTGTTTTTGAAGAGTAGAGGGTGTTTGCGGAAAAGCTTATTTACTACATTCCACACTTTTTCTTATTCGGACCACCCTCTCTTAGGACCCCCCCCCCCCATCTCCGGTGTCCCCTTTACGACCCCCCGTTGCGACAGTCGCATCACACGCTTGAGCCTGCTTGGAGCGCAGCCAAGTGGGGGGGGGGTATATATTCTCTTCAACGTTTGTTTTCATTTTCGATTATTTTTGCATCATGCTTGGCTATGTTCTGGGCAGCTCCTGCAGTTGAGGGTTTCTTGTTGAGTGGTTGAGCCCTTTGGATGTTATGGATTAGATGCGCGTGAGCGCAATAAAATCTGGAGGTTGGTTGTAGTTGAACATTCTGCGGGAGTGGAGCTGGTGGGTACACTGTTCCATGGGACTGGGTCTCCAGCGGCCGACTCTGTAGAGGAACCCAGAACTTCTTGATTGAATTGAGCCTCTTGCACATCGGCAGCAAAAGATGCGCTTCCCGTCCTGTGTTAGTAGTCTGGTCATCCTCTTTAGGGACCTCATCCTTTTTTCCGTGTGTATGCTTTATATTCGTTGTTTTATGTATTTTATGTTTATAACCTGATTTAATTTTATGTGCGTTATGTTGCTGAGTCGGTGACCGCGTCGAGTGGATGCGCCGTGAAAATACAGCGGTGTCGGACGCGTGATGCTAGGACGTGGAATTGTGGTGTAGGGCAGTCGAGCACACGGTTAAGGGTGCTGGTCCCACCGAGCCGCAACACATGGTAAGGTTACTCAAGTGTTCACGCTGTAAGGGTGGACCCTTCTCAGAGCTTTGTTCCTACAGTCTTTATAAACGTAAATTATAACGTGTGAAAGAAGGCAAATGTTTATGTTGATTGTTTTAACGTGTGAAAGAAGACAAATGCATTTGTTGATCATTTTTCTTGCTTTCTCACGATATCCGATTGGCTTCATCTTACATAACTATTCGCACAGTTTTGTTTTCCCAGAAAAGTTACATTTTTTCTGATGGGTAAGCAGTATTAGCACTCAAAAAACATGACATCTGCTCTCGTATAATTCCGGTAGCCGCAGTGCACTGTCTCGAATAATCTTAAGTCAAGCTATTTGTTGCTACTTCCGTTCATTATTAGTATCACCATTCTGCTTGTTGTAAATATTAGGTTGTCAAGAAAATAATGTCGTTTTTTATTTGCTTGCTTTAACAAAGCAACCAGACTCAATCCAACAAAGGGTGATGGGTATTGTTCGATAGAGCAAAGGAAGCTCTACAAGATGACTTTCATAATACTGCGCCAAGTTCGATCCACGGAAAGTTTGAACTCAAAATCTGAAGATTTCCAAATGCCCAAAAAATCGAAAAAAATCAGATCTTCGTCCAAATAATTTCTACGGACCTCCTGCTCGCACACTTCAATACTTTCGATATCTGATATCCATATGTGCAGCTGCTGTACTTTTTCCCTTGACTAGAAACTGAGAAAAACGAAAATTTTCGTGTTTCTCTAAAAATGCTGAGCCATTCTTGCATATGTGATTTTATACTACTAGCCTAGGTAAGTATAACTATAGATTTTCAGCCTATTCCGAGCGGTAGTTTTCGAGAAATGTCGCTTTTAGCACTAAAACTGAAAAAAAAAGCTGATTTCGATATTTCTCGAATACTAATGCTCGGAATGGGCTGAAAATCTATAGTTATACTTACCTAGACTAGTAGTATAAAATCACATATGCAAGAATGGCTCAGCATTTTTAGAGAAACACGAAAATTTTCGTTTTTCTCAGTTTCTAGTCAAGGAAAAAGTACAGCAGCTGCACATATGGACATCAGATATCGAAAGTATTGATGTGTGCGAGCGGGAGGTCCGTAGAAATTATTTGGACGAAGATCTGATTTTTTTCGATTTTTTGGGCATTTGGAAATCTTCAGATTTTGAGTTCAAACTTTCCGTGGATCCAACTTGGCGCAGTATTATGAAAGTCATCTTGTAGAGCTTCCTTTGCTCTATCGAACAGTACCCATTACCCTTTACTGGGTTGAGTCTGGTTGCTTTGTTAAAGCAAGCAAATAAAAAACGACATTATTTTCTTGACAACCTAATAACAATGGCTCTGCCTTTGTATACAATGTTCACTAATATTTCGTTCGATTTTGTCGTCTCCCTTTGCTTTTCAAAGTCAAAATTTTGTATACATGAAGCTCCACATATTGTGACGGACCACCAAAAAGTCTTTCCTCTTGCATTGATCAATAAGCATTTGATTCAAGAAGAATTAATTTCAGGACTGAACGAATAATGGCTAATAATGTGCTTTGTTGATCTTTGATTCAATTTACGATTGTCTCAAAATTTCTTAAATTTTTGTGAGTGTTTACGGTGGTCGCAGTGGTCTGGTATTCACATAAAATTTCCGACTGATTTTTCAATTTTCTTCACAATTCTGGATAATACATGAGGTGGGTGCGTAGGAAGAAGTAGTCGTGCAGCCGTTTGTTGCCATATTCAACTGCCAGAGGTGGTTGCAAAGCCCTGTAGTGGTATAGTATTTACGCTCGTCGTTCAAAACTTTTGGAGAAGTTTTCTCGCATTTTGTCGCACTGAGGAGCGACATCAGCCTCAGAGATAACGCAATAACCTTGCCATCTATATCATTATAAACAACAGAAAGCTCATAATTTTTGAGAACCATGCAAATAAATTACACGTAGTAAACTTTTAAGGGAAAATGGTAATAAAAAATTATTTGATACCCAAAATAACCAGAAGATGATAATTCTGGAACTATTCAGTTTTTGTTTTCACTGACACTCAACGTGGGAGGAAAACGAACGCGAACAACAACAGGAAAATTCTATCGAAAACCTCTCAAAATCAGTGTTTTATAACCCATAAAAGGTAAAAAATGTGCCACGTAAGCTGATACAAAAGAGAGGGTAGATTATTAAAAAATCGGTCTCATTTCAATTCCTACAGTTTGCAACGTCTCAGACAACAAATACGCGAAAAATTCATCGCTTCTCCAACTACAATTTTTGCATTTCAGTTCACCTTTCTGTTTGCCTGTGAATTTTGGAACAATCTCCGCTTGTTTGGGTTCTATTGTGTAATTCTTGATTTTGCAGGTTTTTTCCTGTTCAGGATGACGTAGATCTTATGGATGTGCACCTTCGCTACGAGGTGTGCGATAAATGCTCTCGGCCAGATTTTTTAGGCGACTAGCGTAATTACTACACCATTTGCAGCGGCTTTGCCGACAGTTTCGGCGGATGACTGCGGCAGCAGTTGGCTGCCCGGGTACCATTTACATACCTCGCCATGGAAGATAAAGGGGATTAGCACACGAGATTGTAAGAGAAACTTTTTGGAAAGGAGAGTGAGGATCAATGTCAGAAGGAAGCTAGGGGCTAGGTATTGTCCTATTGTCAAACATCTAGTGTATCACTCACAAAAAATACTAGATGTGAGAAGTATCACTACCTAAAAATGGCACATCCAAACGCAAGTTCGAGTTCCGTTATAGTGCGAAGATTACAAGAGGAACGCAATTTGGCTGAGTGTGAACAACCCCCGTGCCAATTTTTGACCAATGACAGCAAGACTATTCACCATTCTGTACCTTGTTTGTGTACAACTAGACATCTGAGTAGATGAAACAACATATTATGGATAATATTGTAGCCGGTACATGGTTTGTGCTCTCTGTATACTCCTTGGCTGCGAATACTTTGCTTATTGTTCTAATCTTCAGCAGCACTGAATTGCGCAGGTTAACTAGGTAAGATTAATTTAGCATATGCTTTCTAATACCTTTGTACAGTTACTGGATTCTTGCATCCTTCGCTGTATGCGAGGTCTTCATGTCGGCTATTGCTTTGTGCTATGTGGTCCCTTCCGTTCTTTTACATGAAAAACTAGGAACGACTGATTTGACTGTACTATATCATTTCCTGTGGAATGCTGATGTGATACAGCTTGCCCTGATGGCTTTGAACAGGTTAACAAACGTGGCGCTCGGTGCCTTTGGCAATTATTTAGTGTACCAAATTGTCAGATATGTATCTATAGTCTATCCTATTTATTACTCAACATTTTTCTCTAAGAAAAACACTGCTCGTCAGCTATGTATTTGCTATATTTTGGCGACTCTCCAATCTCTGCCTACTCTCACTCCATGCTGTTACATATTATGGGACTCGTATAATTACATATCTTATTACATCTCGCCAGATTCGTGGTATGCCTGAAGTAGAGACTTTGATGATTGCGAACGCATCTTCAAGGATGTCACTGTAACACAATGTAAGTTGCAGGTACAAAGTCCTGGACTTGAGCATAAACATAGCGGTTCTCGTAGAGATGGTTACCTTCTATACTGTTGTACTGTGTCAAGTTCGCAGAGTTCAACACCAGACTCGGGTTAGTGCCGTATCTGTTCATCTTGTCGTACCCAAAAGTAATGCGATTCAGCAGTCTGCAAACGAAATTATTCATCGCAATGGCGAAAGCTCCAGATTGGAAGTGCGTCTTCTTGCTCAGGTAGGATTTTGTCCTAGAACAACAAAGATGTAGTTGAACAAAAGCTGAAGCGTTTGCAAGACCGCGATGCAGACGAAGCTGTTTGAGGTGATGTGAGAGGGAAAGCTCGCAATCACACCCTTTCTCTGAAAATTGTGTCTGCTCACATTCCAAGATCATTAAAATTCCACTTCAACAAATTAGGACGCATATACACTGATTTTTCTATAATATTAGGTTGGCCCGAAAGTTTTGTCTGTTTTTTCAACCTAACATAAAAACGCGTGGAACGAAGATAGGAAAACGCTTTAAGCACTATCCAACGCATCTTTTCCTTCTCTTTCTAACTGTCATGCTTCCATGCCGATTAATCTTTTGTTCACTGAGATAAATGCCGAAATTTGGAACCCATGGTTTTTACTATGTCCAAGTTTGGCAATTTCTACAATCTTTATTTTTGACTTTCGGAAAAGCTTTGGCAACAGTTAGATAGAGCAAACAAAGGGCAATATAATGCAATTTTGTGGCATCTATAGCCGGCCTTGAAAATTTTTTAGAATTATTTTTCTGATGCTATAAAATTCCACTTTTGGTGATGCCAAAAGCCAGAGATCATAAAACGGCGCACAATCAAGGTGTTATTCAATGCAGCAGCTTTTCCTCCTCTTTCCAGCGAGTGTATTTTCTCTCCAGTTTGCGGGATCTTTGGCTATAAAATTTTCATAATTCTTGAATTTGACCCCACCCCAGCGTGTACACGTAAAATGCAAAATCTTATATTTCGAAGCGGTAAACGCTCATTTGCTTCGTAAAAATAGTGAATAATCGTAATCGGTTTTTGAAAGCTTCAAAATCCGATGAGTTGTTAGTGTTCGAGGCGTTTCTGTATTTTAAAACTTCGCAAAAGTGAAGACTTTTGAAAAAATTATCTTTAAAAATATTGAAAAGCCAGCTAGATATGCCAAATAATTGCATTGCATTGCCCTTTGTTTGCTCTATCTAACTGTTGCCAAAGCTTTTCCGAAAGTCAAAAATAAAGATTGTGAAAAATTGCCAAACTTGGACATAGTAAAAACCATGGGTTCCAAATTTCGGCATTTATCTCAGTGAACAAAAGATTAATCGGCATGAAAGCATGACATTTAGAAAGAGAAGGAAAAGATGCGTTGGATAGTGCTTAAAGCGTTTCCCTGTCTTTGTTCCACGTATTTTTATGATAGGTTGAAAAAACGGACAAAACTTTCGGGACAACCTAGTATTAGGTTGTCCCATAATTATTTACCGTTTTTACTTCAACGGTCGTCTTCTTGTATCCTTTATCTGATGCGGCTTGAGAAACCATTCGATAGGGCAAAGCAAGCTCCACAAGAAGGCTCTCAAAAGTTTGCGTAAATCATAATCCACGTAAAGTTTTGAGCTGAAATATGGTAATAGTCAAAAACGAACTTTTCTGTAAAAATCGCTCCGCCCCAAAGTATCTAAAGATTTCCAAGATTATTCTGGTAGCTTGACACATCCCACATTCGACTGCATATTTTCGAATTTTTTCATAAAATAAAGAAAAAAAATGAATGAGATAAAATGGAAACTCCGCCCCTAGAAGTGTCCTGAGCTCCTCCCTCTCACACATGTGATCTTATAGCTCATACGTACAGAAGTACAATCATGTGTTTGAAAATTTTGAAGGTGCCTCAGTTTTCGAGAAATGCTGATGTTTAAGGTAAAAACGGCAAGTAATCATGGGACCCCTAATATTTAACATGTAGTAAACTATTTTAGCCTACATTGAATTTTCTAACACAATCTTTAGAAATGACTGTAAAATGCAAAATCAAAGAAGCCAACTTTTGAAAATTTTATGTAGCATCCTTGAAGTGGACATTGGAAAAGCATTTGACTAGTAATTAAATAAGAGTAGTAAATACAATTGTTATGTTTCGATGAACGACTGGCGTAAATCTACTTATCAATCGTAGGCAGTTGGAGCAAAATATTTTCTATAGATATCGGCCAAAGTTTCAGTTTCTCGCTGTTTCGTTGATTTACCTTGCGACATGGACGACATGGCAGTGGATGCCTTTCGTGTCAGCATCGAAATGGTTATACTTCTTGATGATGTCATTTGCCTATCTGAATAACGCAGTAAGTTAAAGTTCAATAGTATTATTCAACAAAAAAAATTTGAGGTTAACCCAACTATCTATCTTTATTTCAACAATGATTTACGCTCGAAAGTATATGAATTATGGAGCAAAAATCAAAATCAGTCCATTGTGAATATCACAATAAGACGTCAGAATCAGTGAAAAGGAGACAAAGTTGCTTTTCTTGCACAGTCATAAATTGAAGACAAATTTCGAAAACGTATATACAAGAAAAGCGGGAGTCTTGTGTAAAATCAGACTTAACAAGTTATGAGACTTTCTGTTTATGCTAGGAAAAACAGAATTTGTATTCAAGTTTGTGACTTCCTGTTCATCAAAAACCCAAAGAGTAAAAACGCTTTGATCTGCGCGATATTACAAAGTAGGCATCCCTCTCATTGTCGGCTTAGTTGGCCAAAGACGTGACTGTTGATTGAAATTACAAAGAAAGAAAGGTAAGTTTCGTTAATTCAAACAACGTCGCTTCAAACGGAAAAAGCATTGGCTCTCTTGCTTTCGTAGTTCCTTGTCACACATTCAGAGCAGAAATGATGAATGCAAAGCTGCAAGCAAATCAAAGCACGGTCATTGCTATGTCGAACTTTTGAGCAAGCAGCGAAAAGACAGTCATAAGGGGTACATAAGCAGGGTGGATACCATTTTTGTATGTATAAGTAAAATATTTGTGTTTCTTCAGTCACGCAATCTATACACAGCATGCCTCATTCGGGATCAGGCCGAAATCTCGGCTTTTTTGCGCGCTCCAGCGCTAGGGTTTTGCGCTGCATACGCGCGCTGTCGCAGAGAGCGAAGAGATTGAGGAGAGAGAGCAGACTAGCTAGCCGTAGAGCGGCGCAATACTCTCGAGACACGGACTCCCGCCATGCCAAATTTGGCCTGGTTGGGGTTGGGGCAGACTGTACATGCTCTCAAGCACCCTTAGGAGTTTTGAATATGTTGAATTGCATTCCTTCAGTGCTCTGTGATAATATGATCGTACAATGCGGGAATTCGGCCATGATTTGCCACATGCATTTAATGATGGAACTCTGTTTGAAAAATTATGAAAAACACAGGTGAATGAAAGGCACGTAGACTTTGACTCAGGCAGAGTATAGAGAGCAATAAGGCACAAAAGAAGTAGAACTCTAGAATAATCTTCTCTTTACGTAATTGTTCAGAAGCGTTAGCCCTTTGCTTCAACCAGATCGGCTACTTGAAGGCGGGGCTTCATGACTTATGAGGCGACTGCTTCCGCAACGCATCTGCGTCTCACTCGCGAACATGCTCTTTGATCATTTTCTAGCCCTAACTAGGTCACGGAGCCCCGCCTTCCAGCCGCTGTTCTGATTGGAGCAAAGGGTATGTTTTAAGCTTACTCTTACCATCCAGGCACATCAAAGCTCGTTTCTCCGACTTGTTAGGACCTCCGATGATATTAAAGTTGCTAGTTTTTGCATGCGGTGTTTTTCTTGATTTCTGTCTACCAATCGCTAGCTGCCAACTTGGAGCCTGAACACTTACAAATAGTGAAAGGATGAGTGTTTTTTTTAGAGTTTCTGGTGCTACCTTATGTCAAACTCTGGGTATGAATATGACACCAATTTGATAGTGTACATACAAAGAATGGGTTGCAGAATGTTACATTAGTCCGACAGTTCATTGTCTAGTATCCTTACACAGCTTCTGAAAAAATCCAAACCAATGCCGCTTTTATCGCCGTGCGAAGTGTGTTTCAGGCTGCAAAATACTGTGAAAGCGCACTTTAATTAGTGACGTTAACTCAACAGTTAACAGCTTTTTGAGTTAACAGACCGTGTAGAAATGAGGCAAGTGGCTTGTTTCATCATCTTATGCTGAAAGAGGGCGAGCGAAGTCGGGCATTTCAGCTAGTAGCTACCTACCTTATGCCAAACCTAAAACTCATGTTCCGAATACATAATACCAAATTATTTTCCGCAAGTCAAGCGGAAAGGCTCGGTAAAGCTCATCTAGGCTACATCTTCATTACACTTCACACTTACATTTCGCACTGAGGACGATGCGGTGTCAGAATCATGAGTGCTCAGCTCAATGCAGAACCGGAGCAGAAGCAGGAAGGAAGAAGAAGGAGGAGGTATGATAAGTAAGAATAAAAGAAGAAAAGACAAATTATGATCCAGAAGAAGGCTTGGGATTATATATCGTGCCTGGATGCCTGATCCGTTAATAGTGAGGCCCCGGCCAGCTTCCCATGGGTTTCTCCTCGGCGCATACGCATCGCGCACCAACGCGCGCTCTGTTGACGCTTCTCATCTCACTTGTGAACAAAAAACATTTTTATGTGAAGATAGGAGAGAAATAGTAAGTGAAAACTCTCTAATCTCAGCTCGAGAAAAGCCTAAACAAAAGAGAATTCTCACAACCTTCACTAACACTTAGTTTTTAGTCAATTTAATGAACTATTGTATGATATGTTGTAAGCCACGCAGGTTTGTTAAGTACTTTATTTCGGTTTAACGTTTCGGCAAAAATGCCTTCCTCAGAGACCTGAAAGAAAGCCTCGCAAATGTTTTTTCACTCTGTATTGTCAAATCTCTCTTCTCAACTAGCTCAGTTCGATGCCTTAGGAGCAAACACTTTAAGACAATACATTGTAAGCAGCGTACCAAGATCTTCACCAACCAGGCAACAACAGATGTTTGAGATCCACTGGTGGTAATAGACTAGAACTGACCGATATGGACAGCTTAAGTAGTAGTGGATATGTTATCTATAAGTGACAATATGACAGAAATGGCATCAAGTCACTTGTGATGGAAAGCTGCTCATTCTTTCCGATTAGATTAGGTTCGCGCGAAAGGATGTATACCGCTTCAAGCGCTTCGCACGCAGCAATTTTAGACTCGTGACCTAGGATGATGCATTTGATACTGAAGTCATTGCTGTGATGATTTACCTTTCTGTGTTTCCCTAGCGGACTTGACATGCTTTCCCGTCTTTTACTAGACAAGTGTTCATTGATTCGCACGCTGAGCTGATAACCAGTTTCCCCTATGTAGGTGGCGTGGCATTCTAGACATTCAATTTCGTAGATAACGCCAAACTTGGTACAGTCTCCCATCCTTCCGTAAGGACAAATGACGCAACCCCTCGTAATACAGGCTGTATCGTATAAACGATTACGCACTAGCGGTCGCTTGATGTTGCTTCGGGGGATGCTTACGAGAACAACATCTTGCTCCAGCTCGGCTTGTATTATGCAATTCTGGAAAGCGTGCTTTACCTTATCGGAGGCATAGATAAGTGGAGAAATTTCTCTGACCTCCTTCACTTTGGGGCCGGCATTTGGCTGACCCTTTTCACCTGAGGTTGAGACTAGAATCAAGGCATAACGGCAGAATCAAACAGCTGTTACAATGCCACTTTTTGTTTAGAAGAACGCCAGCTGCTCTTTTTCTCAGACATCAAGACTGCAAGAGAGCATCGAATCAACAGTGTTTTGTTGAAAAAACGCATGCTCGAGACCCTCTGCGCACTCAAAGTGGCGTTGCTAACGAAACATAATCAAAAATTAAAAAGATGTCCGATTCTTTGAATAATTAACATTGTATAAATGAATACGCATTGTCTCAAGAAAGAGTTGAGCAAGAGTAGAAAATTTAGACTAGTTAGTGATGGATGCATGTTTGCTGACAAGAATCGTACCATATCTCCTTTCACTAGAAGAATAATAACAAATAAAAAAGCAGTCAGATTACTCGTTTCTCAAGCTTTCGAATCATATATAAAACAAAACTTCGAAAAAGACCTTCTTGGTTTGAGAAGATAATTACCCAGAATCGGCTGCGCATTTCGCTTCACAGAAACTAGGAAAAAAGAGACGGTCTACGTCGATTCCTCGTGTTCTTAGCTATCGAATGGTGTATTAAGTGTTGGTGCACAGAGCTTTCCCAGTCCAAAAAAGTCTTGCTCCGGCGACCATAGAAAGCCGGAGCGGGGTGGAGCAAGTCAGAGTATTGGATATCTGCACCTCGTTTTGAAAAGCCATCTTTTCACCCAACAACTTATATACCATCATAAAGCCCACGAAGAAGGATTTCGACGTAAATCGTCTTTTTCTCTAGCTCCACCCTACCTAGAGATACATGATATTTTAGCTAAAAACATGTGTGTTTTTGTCAAGAAATTTCTGCGTAAAGAATGAATGAAGGTGTCTGATTGTCTAACAGTGTCACAGAGCAAGACCTTGCCAGTAAACGTAGACCGTCTCTTTTTTCTATCTTTGTCCTTTCTTTCAAAAATGAAGCACAAAATAATTACACGAGATTAGCTGGTAAGTAGGCGTATAAAATAGATTGAAACTCGCTTCACAAAGAAGTTATGAAAAAACAGATGAGTTATTTCGATTCATCATGATCACAGCTTTCGAATGGTATGAAGTATGTTAGGGCTTTTTTGCTTCCCGGCTCTAAAAAGCACTTGCTCCGGTGACCGATGAAGGCCAATACATTGGGGGAGCTAGGTGGAGCAAGCTAATAGTAAATATCTCCACCACATTTCCAAAACCTGGCAATTTTTTTCGCCCATAATCTATATAGCATTCGAAAGCTCAGGAAAGGGGATTCGACGTAGACCGTCGACTTCTTTCTAGCCCCCCCCCCCCCTTTACCGAAGGATACACTGCATTTTATTCGAAATCATGTCCATTTTCAACAGCAGATTTCTGCCAAACGAAGACGTAATCACTGCTGGTTATCTATGTTACGGAGCAAGCCTTCATAACAGACGTAGACCATCGACTTTCTCGTAGCATTCATTTGGAGAGCAGAAAGTGAGGACACAAAATCAGTTAATATATGAAGTACATAAAATGCCTCATAGCTCGCGGCATAGAAGACCTATAAAAAAGTCGAGGTCCACGTCGATTCTATATGTCTTCAGCTTTCGAATGTTATGTAACTTGTTGGGGCAGGGCATTTTGCTTTCAGGGCTCACTTACGCCCTCCACCTTACAAGGGTGGGAGTAGCAGAGACCCCCTTCACCTGAAGAGGGCCCGGCTCCCCCTATCGCACCTATGATCGGAGATAAACGGTAGACATAATGGGATCCTGGTACGAGTTCGGCTATCATCATTATTTGCGGTGTTTTTGAAATGTCTAGACTTTGATGAGAAGTAGCC